TTGGCTGGCACCAGACAGCCTCACCACCTGATAAGAATGTTCGAAAATGTGACGCTTAATCGTGTACGCCGGGTTTTGCAGCCGTAGTTGAACGAATTCGCCATCTATGATCACCCGATCCGCAATCGCGGCCACCGTTGCCGGTATTTGCACCTGGTAGGAAAACCAGCGAAGTGGTGGGTCTTCGTACCCCCCATCGAACCTATAGAGCGCCCGTTGATAATAAGGATAGCACAACCATTATCACATAGTCTCACAAAGTTTCAGTCGTGCGTAGAGATCATCCGGCTATTTTTTTTTGTCTTAAACCTGGATCGACTTTCCTCCGCAGAGCCTCTCGGCACTGAGTACACGTGTTTTCTAACAGGATGGAGTTAAGAACACATATGTGCGCACGCAAAAGTTCCGTTGGAAAGTATTAGTACTAAAAAGCTACTTGCAAATTTTCAACAGGTTGAAGTTACGCCTATTTAAACACTTCTCGGATTATGGCTACCAAAGGGCTTTGTCCTAATAGTTTTCTTGGTCTGTAGGCTTACTTTTCAGTCTTTTTTGTCCTTAACGCATCCTTTCCACCAACTTTTTGTTCCGTAAAACAAAAACAAACGTTTTTACTTTCTTATTGTGTAGTTCTCACATACATATACGGCTCGTAGTCCGTGCAACCCCTTAATTCGACTTTAACCAAAAACTTCAGTAAAAAAAACGTGGGCTGAGGGACTCTTGCCATTGAGCAGCCCTTCGATGAATTCTTACCGTTCCCCTTTATCGTGCTCTGTGACCTACGCTGATTGTGAGTGAAAAACTAACCACTTTCGGGCTTGTCAGTGTCAACGCTCACGAACTCCCTTAAATCCATGGGCTTCACTTTTCTTGCTAAAGTTGCGATGGACGAGATTCCCTTTAGGACTGTGACTGCAAACTCGAAATGTCGGCGCTGGCACCCGAGGTTAGTGCAGCCAAGCCTGTGCGGGCTTTCGATTGGGCGGGCAAGGAATTTATGCCCGTCCCTGGTTATTTATCACTCCTCTGGTCGCCCCTAGGCAGCCAGAAAGTGCTGCCTACTTAGGCCCATCTGACATTTGGCACACGGCAAATGGAGTCTTTGTGCCACGCTGGCCAGTCCACCCAATCGATTTGACAAGGACTAGAATCGGGTATGGGGATAAAATAAGTAAAGCCGTTTCAAACAGAATCTAGTCCATAGTTCCTTCATTGTAAGCAATGACATGCTCTTGACCTACCATAACGCGATACTAGCCGTGAATTGAAGGACTTCTATATGGTGGATAACGCAGTCTTAGGGTTGGGTTGTAATGTCTCCTCGCTTGTGTTAAATCTCGGACTGTCTCTTTGTTATGACCCGCGCCTGGTACTTGTAACTAACGATATCGCTCGTGAGAACCCCGAACCTGTCGTGTAGTCCGGCATAATCTGCCTATACCTGCTGATCTCCGAACCCCTACAAAGAGACCGCATGCTCGCAGGAAATCCCAAGTGTCCTACCGAATCAGCACGTGAAGATGAGAAATTTGGCAAGCTCATTTTACCATGTTATGCTTATTG